TTTTTTTTTTTTATTATTAAAAAATTTACAAGATGTTTATATATAAAAAAAATTGTATAATAATAAAATAGTAATTATTAAAATTAAAACTTAGATATTTTAAAAATGTGTAAGTGGTTTTTTGTTTTTGTGGTCAGTTCATTAAATAGGTTAGTCAATTGTTATATTCCTTCGTCCAAAATATTAATGAGTTCCTGGTCAGAAAATATTATGTCAAAAACAAATGTATCTAACTCTGAATAAGTATTATCCCCAAAAATTTCTCTTGATTTCTCCTCTATGTCCTCAATATTACTCATACTATAAACATTTGAGAAATTACACACACAAACATTTTTTTTTCTCTGGGGAGATTTTTAAATTACTAAATTTAAGAACTAAATAAAATTATTATATATAAATATATTTTGCACTAACCTCAGGTCTTCCGGTTAAATGTTTCAATTAATCCTTTTATTGACGCGGAATTACACGCATACACAAAATTCGATGTCACGAAAAAAAAAAACTTCGAGGGGTCGTGTCGGTACGAACCTCGAGTTTGGCGCCAATTTTATGTCGAACGTTGGTAGTGCCCCAACGTAGACACAAAAGTTTTACACAAATTAATTAATGTTTTATATATATATATTAACGATGAGTTCGTCGTTCAAGCTTTTCTCGTATCCTCCCGTTGGATAAATTGATCAGCTCCAATCCCTCAAATTAGAGAACTACTAAAGGGGTAGAATTTAGACCCGTCAGTACGGTGTAGCTCAAAAGTAGTAGACTGAAGGATGGCTCCTTGTCAGCCACCAGCACAACTACCTTTTTACTATACTCACTGAAGTACGGTTAAGCCCAAAAACTAGCCAGCTCGTACACTAATTATTAAGATTGACTAAAGACCTTAACTCTAGCCAAACATACACACACTATTCTAAAATCACGGTGAATAAAAAATATTTGCGCTAAATCCAGGTTTTTAAATATCTATTTTATTTAAGAAACGTATTAAACACAAAGTCAAAAATGTAATATCAAAATGTAACACAAAACAAAAATTATATCGTACAAAGACACTCGCGTACCCGTAACTCGACGTTTCTTCGACAAAAACGTCCAGTCTCGTCTCGCCCAGTCCTCTCCCATCCTTTTCATGTTTCCCTTTTATATTCTTTTTCCCACCATTATTAATTTGCTTACCCTGCATTTCCCTTCTATATGGAATTATTATACTGCTTAAGAGTTTAAAAATTGCTTACTACTATTGTAAAGCTTATATTATACTAAAATCGATGTAATTCATTACTTCATCTGGTAATTACTACATTGTTAAGCTTGAAACTGCAAGTAAAATGTCTCAAATAATGATATTACAAGATAAAATACACTAATATGTACACAACAATAAATATATGAATATTTTAATAATAAAAATTATAATTAAACTAATTATATTTTCAGGATGATTTGACATTATTTTTAACCCATACTGAAATTGAGCTAGAAAAAAAAAATGCTGTAATAAAAGAAATGGAAATAGATACAAAAATTAAGGAAAATCAAATTAAAACTTTGAAAGAAGACACTAAATTATTATACAAAGAGAAGACCTCATTAGAGAAACATATTGAAAGCTTAAAAGAAAATGAAAATTTATTACATAATAAATTGTCTAATGCATTGTCAGAAATTGAAAAAAAACAAGAAACGGTTAAAGAAATTGAAACTTTGGGGGTACAATTAAGAGCTGAAATTCAGCCATTAGAATATATGAAAAATTCTTTAAAAAAAAAATTAGGGTATTCTAAAAACTGTAATAAAATACAGTCTGAAAAAATTAAGTATTTAGAAAGTAACAACATTGAACTTTTAAATGAATGTAATATCTTAAAAGAGGACAAAAAAATTTTAGAAGATAGAATAGATATATTAATTAAAAATGAAATATCTGATAAAAATTACATCGAGACACTTACCAATACAATACGAGAAGAACATTATACCCAACAAGAGATGCTACAGAAAGTTAGTATTTTTTTTAAATAAATAAAAGGTTTTTCAATAATTTTTAGGAGTTTGTACAATAATTGATTATTAATATTTTTTTANTTTTTTTTATTAAGAAAATATTACAATCTGTATACATAATACAATAAGTAAAAATGACTGAACAATGTGTTACAACGCATGAATATCGTGCATGAAGAAGGAGCCCATTGACACCACTTCAAAATAAAAGAATAATAATTAAAATTGTGAAACTAAATTTGTGCTAAAATGAGTTAGAGAAGGTCTCTAGCCCAGTTTCTTTTGAGTCGACGTAATGGGTTAATAGGGTTAGAGGGATTATGGAGATTAGATATTAGAGGGTTAGGATGGTTTTGTGTGTCACTGTGGAATTTTTTAAAATAGCAAGAAGCAAGTTCAGGAAGTGTTAGAATTTTTAGGTCTTTGTGGAGAGTTTGGTTACTAACATACCACGGTGCTCCTGTTATAATTCTTAGGTTAATTGATTGAAAGGATTGAAGGATAGAGATATTTGATTTTTTCGCGGATCCCCAAATTTGAATACCGTAGGTCATGGCTGGGCGTATGATTTGTTTGTATATTAGTAGTTTTATATTAAGTGGCATATTAGAACGGAGAAGATGTCTCAGAGAATGGAGACGTAGGTTTAATGATTTTCGTTTGTTTTTTATGTGGTAGGCCCAATTTAGTTTTTTGTCTAAATGGATGCCTAAATATTTAGTGTAATCATGTTGAGGAATTATGTTGTTATTTATCGATAAAGGAGGGCCATTGGTGGAACGGAGAGTAAATGATACGTGGGAGGATTTTCCTTCATTAATTTTTATTCTCCATAATTTGAACCAAGTTTGGAGTTTGTTGAGATGATCTTGGAGTGATTTTGTTGCAGAATTAGAGTCAGGATTGGAGGATAGTATGGCAGTGTCGTCTGCAAATGTAGCGAGATGTGTATTATTTGAGTGTGGAATGTCTGAGGTAAATATATTATAGAGGGTTGGGGCTAGGATGCTTCCTTGAGGTATACCTGCGTTAATAGAATGAATGTTGGATGTTTCGTCATCGCAACGTACGGCAAACGTGCGTTGTGATAAGAATGACTTTAACGTGAGGTATAAGGGAGCTGGAAGAAATCGAAGTTTATAAAGAAGTCCTTCAGTCCACACGCGGTCGAACGCCTGTGCGACATCAAGAAATACTCCTTCACAATGATTTTTGATTTCTAGGGATGAGGAGATGATGTCTGTTAATCTATGAATTTGGTGCAGTGTGGAGTGTTTATTTTTAAAGCCAAATTGAGTGTTTGGAATTGTTTTGTTTTCGTTTATTATAGGATATATTCTTTTTAGTATGATTTTTTCAAGGATTTTAGAAAGGGACGGGAGTAGACTAATTGGCCTGTACGAGGAAGGTAATTCAGGAGGTTTGCCAGGTTTGTGGATAAGAATTATAATTGAGTGTTTCCATGTTTGTGGTATGTATGATAATCTTAGTATAGAGTTAAAAATATAGGTGAGTTGTATTATAGCTTTTTTTGGTAGATGTTTGATGATTTTATTAGTGATTAGGTCGTGACCGGGAGACTTGTTATTTTGTAATTTTTTTATTAAAAAAAGAATTTCTGATGGGGAGGTGTGTTTAGTTGGGAGAGCCATGGGACAAGGAGTATCTAGTGAATCGGTAATACGTCTAGTGTGATCTACACTGTTTATGTCTGAGTGGGGACAGAAGTTGTTAGCAAGGTGAGTTGCAAATAAATTCGCTTTTTCGGAGTTAGATATGGCTAGGGTGTTATTTGGATTGCGTAAGGGGGGTGATACTTTTTTTTCCTTGAGTATGTTTTTAGTTGCTTTCCATAAAGACTTATTATTATTTGTGAGTGACTTTATATAATGTTGATATGATTCAGTGTTATATTTGTATAGAAGATTTTTCAAGTTGCAGGAGAGACGATTGTAGGTGGATTTATCACTTGGAAGGTGTGTGCGTTGCCATCTAGCTCGAGCACGGCGCTTTTCTTTTATTAATTGAGATAAGTGTTGAGGGAGATTATCTTGTTTAGTTTTGGGGGAATGAGTATTGGAGGCTCTTGTTGCAGAATTTTTAATAATATCGGTTAGAGATTGTACTGCGTTATCAATATCAGAATGATTTTTAAGTGATATATTTAGAGAGATTTGGGATTCTACGGACTCGCTGAAGATCTGCCAGTTGATTTTTCCAGAGATCAGGGTAGGATAAGTTGTTTTAAGTGTGACGTGATCATTTAGAGATAGTAATACTGGAGTGTGGTCAGATGAAAGATCGCTTAGGTTGGAGATATTTCGATTGATATGGTTTGGTAAGTTGGTTATGAAGAAATCTAAGATATCAGGCTGCCTATTTTGATGGGTTGGCCAATATGTAGGATTAGGGGGAGAGAGGAAAGTTAGGTTTTTATTTTGTATGACATTATGTAGTATACGACCTCTGGTATTGATAATTCTAGAGCCCCATGAGGTGTGTTTGCAGTTAAAGTCGCCACCAATTAGAAAATTATTCCCAATGGAAAGAAGAAAGTTCGTAAGTTCGTTAGAGTTAAGTTTTGCTTGAGGAGGAAAGTATGCAGAAGAAATAGTCGTTGGAATGTGGTTTAAGATTATTTTTATATTAGTTGCTTGAATAGAGTTGCTCTGGTAAGACGGTAGAGTAGAGTGTTTGAGGTTTGATTTTATTATAATCGCTGAGCCTGCATGAGCGTTTCCACTTGGGTGATCGCAGTGGTATGTTATATATCCAGGAAGTTTGAATGAGGAGTTTGAGGTAAGATGTGCTTCACTGATAAGGATAATATCAACGTGAGAGAGCTGTAGGAAGGCTTTAAGTTCATTTTTTTGTTGGTTTAGACCATTGGCATTCCATAAGAGGATGGATATTGATTGTTGGATATTTAAGCTAGTTGGCATTTGATTGGGATAGGAGTTTAGTGATAACAGTGGTTAGTAAAGAGATTAAGGGATTAATCAATGATTTAAAGTCTTCCAGGAAAGACATTAGTTTGAGTGAAATTTGATCAGAGTTATCACCAATAGGTGTATGGGGAGTGATATTCGGATCTTTGGTTGCTTGAGCATATGATTTGGATTGAGAATACGAATTTGAAGTGGTGTTTACATAAATGGGCTGTACATTATTTGTATTATTTTGTTGAGAATGTGAAATTGTTTGAGTTTTCTTGGGATTACGAGATGATTGAATTTCTTTATGTTTGGGACAGCCTCGATAGTTTGCTGGGTGGTTACCCTGACAAAGCGCACACTTGGCGGGTTGGTCGGTGGGTTTTTGGCAGGAATCTGATAGGTGATGTTCGCCACATCGAACGCATTTGGGTGTATGATTGCAGTAAGCTTTTGTGTGGCCGTATTCTTGGCATCGAAGGCATTGGACTATGTGGCGTTTAACTCGAGGTTCTTCTATTTTAATTTTAGTGTAGCATAGGAATTCGATTTTGAAGATATCTTTATTGTTTATGGCTGGTTCTAGATCTACGAAGAATAATGGGAGCGGGACCTTAGTGTTATATTGTAGAACGTTTGTTACGTTTCTAGCGATGTGACCGAGATCAAGTAACTCTTTTTTGATATCATCAAGAGGGATTGTGTGATGTAGGTTTCTGATAACAATTCTAAAGGCTCGATCTTGTTTTGATTGATAAGTATGATAGTCCGCTTTGCTGGATTTTAGAAATTTTATTACTTCTCTGTACGAGTTTGGTGATGTAGTTAGGAGTTTAACTCCATTGGTGGAGCTCTTACAAGTGAATGGTTCGCCTTTTGTTAATAATTTAATTTGAGAGCAAAATGATTTGAAGTCATTTACTAAATTAATAAAGATTGGTGGAGGAGGTTTACTCTCTGAGTGTTCTAGAATGTCTCTATTAGGGTCGTTATCTTTGTTTTCAGAATAGTCATTGTTTTGATCATTGTTTGGTGGACTGAATAGAGAAAAGCGATTTGGCGTTACGAATTGTTTAGTTAATTTCGGGGATTGATTAGGTGAGTACTGACGTTTATGATTATTTTGAGTTTTCCAATCGTCGTTGGAGTTGGTTTCTGATGAAAAAGCTGATGAATCATTTGACACGCTCTGTATGCGTGACTTTTGGATAATGAGTGGAGATACAGTTTTATTATTTGTATTATTAGGCATTTTATAGGTAACGGCACTGATTAGGACCGTAGTGAGGTATCGCGTGTTGGTCAATAAAGCGTATAATGCGATAAGGCGTTAGTCCCGATCGCGGCGAGTCTTATATTTAGGTAAATTATACAATTATACATTACCCGACGGTACAAATACCGCGACGAGCGCTGGAAGCGATAACAATTCGATACAATACACACGCTATCGATAGCTGATAAAAGCGGAGCGCGTGACAATTAACGTGTGGACTGTACGACGTCTAAACACGAACTGGAATTATTCTTAAATGAATTTTATTATAATTTATAATTTATGTATACATTTATTATAATTTATATAAAAATATTTTTTTACTAATATGTTCAACATATTATATATTAACAATAGAAGATAAAAATAATGTGTTATAATGAAAATTGTCATTTGTACCTTCTTGCGCTAATAATTTTACATTAACTTTAGATCACTAAATTAAATGATTCGAAAAACCATCTTAAAATTATGCATTCAACTTATGAATCCGAAATGGTAGAAAAAGAAAACATTTATCAAAATATAATAAAAAGCTTTGAATCAAAAAAAGTAAAATTCGTTGAAGAAAATATGAACTTCCTGGTAAATTATTTAAAATTAAACCTTCTAATAAAAGTGTAATTAAAAATCATGTAGCTGTATTTCTTAACAGTATTTATTTATTTGTTAAGCTTGAAACTGCAAGTAAAATGTCTCAAATAAATATCTTAGAAGATAAATATATTAGAAGATAAATAAAATACACTAATATGTACACAACAATAAATATATGAATTAAATATTTTTAATAATAAAAATTATAATTAAACTAATTATATTTTCAGGATGATATGACATTATTTTTGACACATACTGAAATGGAGCTAGAAAAAAAAAATTCCGTACTAAAGGAAATGGAAATATGTACTAAATTTAAAGAAAATCAAATTAAAGCTTTAAGAAAAGTCCAAAAAAATTTAGAAAATAGAATAGATACATTAGTTAAAAATGAAATATCTGATAAAAATTACATTGAAACACATACCAATACAATAAAGGAAATGGTAGAAAAAGTAAACTTTTATGAAAATATAATAAAAAGCTTTGAGTCAAAAAATGTAAAACTCAATGAAGAAAATATGAATTTACTGGTAAATTATTTAAAATTAAACCTTCTAATAAAAGTCTAATTAAAAATCATGTAGCTGTATTTCTTAACAGTATTTATTTATTTTTTAAGCTTGAAACTGTAAGTCAAATATCTCAAATAAAGATATTAGAAGATAAAATACATGATTTTCAGTCTAAAGAACAGGTAAAATGTTCATCAGTAAACATCTACCTTCACTACATATAGGGATGGCAAATATTGACACAATATCGATATTAAATAGGATCGATATTTTGTTTATAGCTTTTCTATAATGATTTATAGAGTTTAGTTTGATATTGAGACATCTGTATATCTAACAAAAATATCAATATTTAAAGGAAAACTAATTAAACGTGTATCACAAACACCATTATTACATGTTGGGTAGTAAAATTCGAAATCATTTTTTTTAATAATAGTAATTTAAACAATAATTAAAAATTGTTTACCTATTTAAAACACAATTTTTACAGGATTTTTAAGTCTGGGTATCACCCAATTTTATTTGAAATTGATATTTATTCTTAAATTAACAATAATGATAAGTTTTTACATCCTTCTATTTCCCGAATTATACATGCTATAAAGGGTTTAATTTTTTTATATAACCTCATAACTTATATTTATATAATCTATAATTGGAGCCTTATATGACTTCTACTTTATAATTTAATTTCAAATAATTAAAGTAGAATTATTTAAATTAAAAAAAAATTAATATGTAAACTGAAATAAGTAGACACTTTATTTTAAAAAATTAATCAAAATAGAAAATATTTAAGACTTTTTATAAAATAAAACCATATATAAATTTTTTTTATAATATCATAAGACTTTTGAAAACCAATCTGCTTTACTTAAAGAACTCATAAAGACAAGCTTAGATAAATGTTTTCCCGTCAATCTGTTTCTTGCTTTAGATATTGTTTGACCAGTTTTTTTTAAAAAAAAAGCATTCTGATAGAACAGAGGTTGCGACAATACTTAATTTTTGAAGAGCAATGTAATATTAGTTTGGGTATAATGACTTCATGTTTTTGACTTAATGTAGCTAGAGGAAAGTCATTGAATATTTCTAGATTCTTTAAACGCTTGTCAAGTTCAAATAATATATTTTTTATTAATTCAATACCAATTAAAGATGTAGTTTGACAATTATCACCGCACTATTGATACAATTTATCAATGGTAAAATTGTACTAATTGTGGTATATTTTGAACCAGAGATTTTTTGTGTTAAGTCTTCAAGTGGTTGCATTAAATTTTTAACTTCTTTGACAATCAATATTTCTCTAGTTATTATTAAATTAGGTGCATTTGGCCTTTCTAATAAAATAGAAAAAACAACACGATACAAATATAAAAATCTATCCATCATATAGACTATTCCAACGTGTCTCGATGTCCAATATTAATTTTAAAACTTTTCCTTTTGGTAAACTTGAAATACAATATTTTAAAACAATGAACACTACATATTATTTTTAACCATAATTTTTTTGGATACTTCTTAATTCATCATAAGCATTGACACTATTTTTTAAATTTTACAATATTTCTAATTTTGTCATTCAATTGATTTAAATTAATACAATCTCTCATGCGTTATTAGCTATAAGATTTATAGTATGAGCAAAACATGGGATTGTTTTATATATGACAAATATATCACTAGCTGTTTTTTTTTTTACAGTAAAAAAAGAACATATTAAATTTAATGAGAATGTAGTTATGTGAACTACATATTCTTATTTATAATCACATATGCTTATTTAAAAGCATATGTGATGCTTTTAAATAAGTTTTATTTAAAAAGCTTTTAAGTTGACCATGGCTGAACAATTTATTTTTGAATTTATTATGCCAAAATATGTAGTCATAAAACTTTCATTCAAATTTTATTTTTATTTTTAATAATAATATTTTTTATGTTCTCTAACTCTTTTTTTACATTTTAATTGTTTTACATAGTGGACAAAAAATAAAATGTTTATAGTACTAAAAAATGTAAAACTCATAAATTTAATTTATAAACTTTAGAAACAATTAGAAAGCCAGAATTTAGCTATTGGACACTTTAAACAACAATTAAAAAGTGCAGAAGACGTTCTATTAGAACAAAAGACTCGAGCTGAACAAGATAATGAAGTTTTTAAATTGAAGGTATTTTTATATCTATTTTTCAAATTTTACTAATTTATTGACATATATATATATAGTTAATACTAAAATATTTTAATTGATTATTATCTATTGTATACAAATCATATATTTTTATTAATACTAAATAACGTTTTTTTTAAATATGAAATTCTTTTTAACCTCTTATATGAGTCACTTTGATACATAGGTTTATAAGTGACAGTTTTTATTTTCTATAACTCCATGTAAATAAAAAATGTTCATCATGACTTTTGTGCAATTGTTTTTTAATGTCACTTATACTACTTGTTTTCTTATCATCTCATATATTCTTTATAGGTATATATTATATGAATGTAATATTATTTATTTGATTAAAATACCAATTTTATTTTATTTTTAGGTTTTAGAACTTCAAAAACAACTTAAACAATATAAACAAAAATATCATAAAATTTCAGAAGACTATGAAACATTAAAATTAAGTGGAATCCAGGATACTGATGTAAAAAATATTTTTATCATTATAATGTTGTTGGAAAATTTATACATTTTTTTTATTTTAGATTAAACTACAAATACAATTAGAAAAAACAGAAAAAGAAGTAATCGAGTGGCAAAAAAAATATAATGATTCCTTGTTTGAAAATCGTAACGTTCAAAATAAGGTATCAAAATAATATACAAATTAATTATGATAATGTGGTGTACAAATATTTTCAAAATTAATGTTTCCAATTAAGTATAGATATTATATTTTCATCCAGTATATGTAATCAAGTTAACTTATTATACAATAATTTTGATTTTCAAATGGAGGATTCATAAATAAGACTATTATTAATTTGAGTTTATTCTTACATACAATATAATTTCAGAAAAAATTTTAAGTGCATTTGATATGTTAAGCACTTCAAATGTTGTAGATTTTGAGTGTTATAAGTAAAGTTCAGACACAATATATGTATATCCTTAACTAATAATCCATGTACTAAAAATAGTGCTAAGAATTAAAACTAAAAATGACTTATAAATTTAAATCTTAGCACTAAAATGAAAAATTAACTTTTTATAAATGAATACACTGAATACACTATATAATACCAAAAATTGAACTGTATCACCTTTGTCTGCCCTCAACAAATTATTTATTTGATCATGCAAAAATGAGATTTTATGTATATTAGGTGTGAACATTATAAATTAATTATGCTCTTACGAACGTCTATTACATTGCTAAGAATTTATAGCAATTATCTATTTATAGCATTCACCCATGATTAATAAATAATTATTTAAAAATTTTAATTTTTGGAGGCAATGTTATGTACAAGTATAACAATAATTATCATTAGAAATTTCTCCACCCATCTTCTCCTTTGTAGTTAATAAAATTGTTAATACATATTTGAAGTACTAATGCAAAAGACGTTATTGATCAGTCATTTTCTTTTCAATAAATTAATTAAATATTTAGTTGTACTAAAAAAAAAAAATTAATAAATCAAGATAAATTTGAAACTTAAAAATACTGAAAATCATTTTCTTCACAAAATTATTCTTTTAGGAGAAATTTAATGACTAGCATTAACAAATTACTCTAATAATATTTTTCATGCATCCATTAAATACTTATTTTTAAGTAGCTTTGTCAGTTATTAATAGATTTACTAAACATACCAAACATTTTATAGCTGGAAAGTTTGGATGCTGAATTTCAACACTTACAACATAAAATGAATGAAATGCAAAACAAGCTATTCCTCAATGAATGTGAGAAATATAAATTAAAAAGTGACATTAAGGATTTTACACTTCCAGAAGAATTAAAACAAAGACAATCTAGTTTAATTGTAACAACATCATTTGNAAACAAAGACAATCTAGTTTAATTGTAATAACAACATTTTACTATAGATTTTCATTTATAGCTTCATTATAATATTTTAAAAAAATTCTAGATAAATTTGGAGGTAGAAAATGCAAAATTAACAAGCAAAGTAATCGAATACCGTGAAAAATACAACAAACTTAAAGCATATTTAGAAGAAGTTAAATCAATGATAACAAGTCAAAATATAAAAAAAGTATTAGAAGATAATATTGATCTCTGTAAAACAAAGGTTAGAAGATTTTTTAAAAAATTAAAAAAAATATAATAATTTTTATTATTATTTTATTTTTAGAAAACTTTACAAAAGCAAGTGATTGATTTGCAAAGCTATGCTAAAGAATTAAGTAATAAATTGAGTGAAAAAGTAAACAATGATTTTCTGTAAACTTAATTCTTAAATTTCAAAAAAAAAATATCACTTATCTACAGTCTGCTACTACTAGCTCGTGGTAAAGACAAGCTATTAAGACTTTTTATTCTTGAGCTTGAAGATGGCCTTCTTAAAAGTACAATGAAAAAACTATGTGGTAAACGTAATATATCTAAGTTTAAGTAAGATTGAATATCATTCTGCTAAATATGGTTTTTTTTTAGAATTTTAGTTATTTGTGTAATTGCTACAAGACGTATGAAATGGGCTGCAGAAAGATATACTGGAAATCAATTAGGTAAAACATATTATAATGTACCAAAAAAAATGCCTTGAATCAAATGTTAAGACTTGATAATAAAATGAAAATAAATTGCATGAAATGCAAGATAAGCATTTCCTTGATGAATGTGAGAAATTAGAAAGTGACATTAAGGATTTTACATTTCAAGAAGAATTAAATCGAAGACAATCTAGATTAATTGTAATAACAAAATTTTACTAGTGATTTTTATTTATAGCTTCATAAAAATATTTTTAAAAAATTCTAGACAAATTTGGAGGTAGAATAGACAAAATTAACAATCAAAGTAATCGAATATCGTTAAAAATACAACAAAATTAAACCTTATATAGAAGAAGTTAAATCNTCCGTGAAAAATATAACAAAATTAAATCATATATAGAAGAAGTTAAATTAATGATAACAAGTCAAAATATAAAAAAACTAGTGGAAGAAAATATTGATCTCTGTAAAACAAAGGTTATATAATATTTTAATATATTAAAATAGTAGACTAATGTTTATTATTATTTTATTTTTAAAAAGCATTACAAAAGCAAGTGATAGATTTACAAAGCTATGCTATAATATTAAGTAATAAATTGAGCGAAAAAAGTAAACAATGATTTTCTGTAAACTTAACTCTTATTTTTCAAAAAATATATCTCTTATTTACGTTCTGCTACTACTATCTCGTAGTAATGACAAGCTATTAAGACTTATTATCCCTGAGCTTGAGATGGCCTAATGAGTACAATGAAAAAACTATGTGGCAAACGTAAAATGTCTAAGTTTAAGTATGTTTGAATATCATTCAATTAAATATGGTTTTATTTTGGAATTTTAGTTATTTGTGTAATTGCTATAAGATTTATGAAAATTACTGTGGAAAGATATACCGGAAATCAATTAGATAAAACACAATATAATTTACCAAAAAAAAAATGCCTTGGATTACATAGATCAAAGACTTGATAAGTACCATTTACTTAAATTTGTTTTATTAACTATTTGTATTTATTTTTTAGTTTAATTTAAAATGAACATTATTTTGTCTAAGTTTATAATTTATAAATATATAATAAAAATTGATCACTTGTGGCTAATTAATTAAATAAAATGAAAACTATATTAAAAATATAATTAATTTAAAAAGTAAAAAATATTAAATTTAAAAGCCACAAAAAGTTACTAAAATGTAATGTATTTCAGAAACAATTTTATTATCATCACTAAACATATACCGTATGTGTTGTATGTAATATTTTTAATAGTTTTTAGTTTTTAAATTAATAATATTTTTAATATAGTTTTAATTTTATTTAATATAATTTATAAAATTAAATACAAAAAATTAAAACACAAATTTTTAACTTTAAACATATAATGCTTCAAGAAGAAGTATTATTGGTTTCCCAAGTTTTTTGCATTTTTTATAGTTTTGAATGCATAGTCTACAAATTCTTCTTTTTCTGTATTACATAATTTTTCATACGTAGCTGAACGTTCAATATCAGCTCCTTTATCTTTTAAATGCAATGCTACTTAATCAGCCTAAAATTGGTAATGGCATATAATTAAAACATAACTTTTGTACAATTTCATGAATAAACTCACACACTGATCATCCTATTCTATTTTTAATTTATTGTTCTATCAGCTAGTATCTTCCTACAATATTTTTTGTAATCATATAATATTTGTATCTATCTTTTTCTTCTTGGCAGTCCGTTATTAATCTTATTTCATCTTTTATATTATNCATATAATATTTGTATCTATCTTTTTCTTCTTGGCAGTCCATTATTAATCTTATTTCATTTTTTATATTACATAATTTTTTATATGTAGCTGAACGTTAGTAGATTTAATCTCCCAAATTATGTTTCTTACTTGATTTTGCAGTTATCTTCTCTTGCAATGTTTTCAAATTCAATTTTTTATTTTTTTTTAGCTGTAATTTTTTTTTTTTTTTTATTGGGTTAAAAGCAATGTTAACACTACTCCAACAAATATAAATAGAAAGATAATATATACTAACTATCCTTTATTTAAATTTAGTAATAATTAATGTTGCTGAAGTGTTCAAATTTATTTAATCCAAGATGGATTAAGGGTAAAATGCTATATTAAAGTACACTAATTGTATTAAATACAAATGATAATTATCATGACTCTAGAAAAATTTTTTGTTATTGTTATTGACAATAATACTTCACACCAGTGGCGACTGTAGAAAATATTCAATAAATTCCTTAGAGTTACATTTTAAAAATCTAAACACGATTCGGTTGATTATTGCATACTTACTCGTGTATAACTATTCATTTCAATATTTCCATAACTTATTTCCCTTATTTATATTTGAGTCAGATAATCAAGTATTAGAGTAACTATGTCAATTATTAACCTCTATAGTGTATAGTTGCATTCACCTGGTTACAATTTTGCCATTTCGCCNCACCTGGTTACAATTTTGCCATCTCGCCATTTTTCACAGCCATTCATAGCCAGTCACCACCATCTCCACAGTCACGGTCAATGTCACATTCAAACCACGACCAGGATCCTTTGGTAACGACCATTGGATGAGTAATTTCTAGCTAGAAAATTAATTCCTTATTACTATTACTATTGAAATATATAGTATTGTTATATTATTATTATTATATTATTATTTTGAGGCCCCATACACATTACAGCATTGTCTATTTATTATAGTCGGCAAGTCCGTTAAATAATTTAATCGTGGCATATATGTACTATTATTATTTTCGGCCAGCCCAATACATTACGTTATGGCTTTTTTTAATTATTTTATTTGAAAACTATGGCTTATTATAATTATTCCGGTCGACTAGATCGACATATTTTTATAATGGCATAATTTTACTCTAATTAACAAAACAATGTTATAACATGACTTTTATTATTTCGATCGGCTTAGCCCGACTTACCTTTATTTATTATATATTTTGAAATTATTTATATTCGATACTTTAAGGTAATGCACGATACACGAGGTTTAAAAAAAATTACTTTTNTACACGAGGTTTAAAAAAAAATTACTTTCTACATAATTTATTTGAAAAATAACTAGTATCGCATTTTATAAACTTGAGTTTGAAACTATATTTGTGGTAAATAAAAACCATGATTAATATTAATTATATTAAAAAAGTATTTTGATGTGGTACTTACCAAATGAAATATTCAATATAACACAGCACGCATGTTCAGCCCCAATAGGTCAAACACAAAATGAATAACACTTTACAGTCAACAGTCGCCACAGCCCTATAAATACCTACGCATTAGGAGAACGTGACAAATTTAAATAAGGGATACTATTCATATATTTCTAATAGTAAATTCCTTTGTATGACATATTATGACTTCATTAAATACACATTACTCATAAAATTGCAATTGTTACTAATAGTGCCAGCCAGTTAATACTGTTAGACATTCTTTTAAAACATTACATTCGNTTAGACATTATTTTAAAACATTACATTCGAAAAGCACATTTTATCACCAATTTATTCATTAATGGTAAACTTGATTTGTTGCAGCACTAGATCAAGGTCACTTTAAACAGCCGTTACCCTTAGATTGAGATAAATCTTAAATCATTTGAAACGTCCCGCAATAGGCGCAAGTCAGCCAACTTCAACATGCCCTAAATGTATGTTTTTCATTATAAATTACTGGACATTGACTTTTATGAGATGGTCACTGTGTGTTTTTTTTTTTGCGTGTATTCAATTTATATACATTAATTCTTCTAGCATGCATGTTTAACTTAAATTAAGGCACCTATTGTAAATGTATGCAAGTTTTTGACAACGTTTTTGCTACATACATTAGGATAACTTAACTATTTTTAATTGTTAAATATTATATTATCTCTTTTAAAAATCTAACATTTTTTTTGTGCATGCATTGCTAACGATTATATTTGTACTCCTCGCAATCCTTTTATATGTCACATAATAAACATTAGCATTCTGAACAGACCTTGAGAACATGGATGGTATTACTTTGGGGCCCCGAGACTATTCAAGAAGTCGATGAGAGAGCCGGGCTTCTCATAGGAACCGTTNAGAAGTCGACGACAGGGCCGGGCTTCTCATAGGAACCGTTTGGTAGCCGACGATTGAGAGCCCACGTGATGGAAACTCCTTCAAAGCTCAAAAGCTTACGAACTTAGAAGTATGGACATCGAATATCCAGAGGTTCTTATTAAGATGCTTATGTCTCTCCAAATGACTTTATTTTAGATTTAACTTTTTTTAATTATTCCAAAATTGTTTTATTTTGTTAAGGCCTGAGGTCTGACCTAGAATGTAGGGGGAGCAGCTGATACGATCACATTATGTGATCATATCTCATATTATTATTGTAACGCCGACTAGGCTTATATCGTTGACACAGTGACACATATTACTACAGGAGGGCTGACTGCACACATAAACACTTTTTCATTTCACGGCCATAATAATATAATATAATAAACGACAGTTGACTTTTTACCATCATCGCGACCATTACTCTAGTCCTATATTTAACTTAACTTACCTACCACGTAAATAGTTTATGTGTGTGTGTCGCCATCAGCTCCTTGTTGAATTATATCATCTCTAGGTGTCCAGCAAGTTGTACTATTTATTTAATATATATTTACTTAATAAATATTTATATCGTTGCTAACCAAGAGTTTTGTATGTTTGCGTATGATAGATACTGCCCCAGCGTCGCTAAATAAAATAGGAAACCTCAGTACCTAAGGTAAATATAGCCTAGCCAGCTATCGCCCGTTGGTCCCTTAGAATACTGTTTTTATTTTTATTTATTTAATATTTTTACAATTACTCAAGACTGGAATATTGTAAGGTAAAAACAATGAATGAAATAGCTGTACATTCAGTATATGTCTTATAACAATGAACACGTAAAACAATATTTCGTAAAAATTTCAATCTTTAAATTTTTAATATTAATTGTTAAATTGTTTAATTAAATTGTTCTTCAATTAGGAAAACACTTCACATAAAAATTTTAACTGACCTATTTAGTAATTAGATAGCGTAATTCTATTTTACATCTTCAACAAATTAAAAAGCCACTGATTCCAAGATAGACGATGTCGTCTGTATTAAACATAATAATAGTTTTTAACCTAAAAACACATAATATGGCTATAATCGAAATGATATAGAAATTGATAAAAATTTTTAAAATAAAAATGTTCCTATGATTTTTTAATTCATGTTATTCATTTTGTCCCTCGCACCAATTTATTCCGCTTTCTCCTGATAATATAAATTAGAGATGGGAATTATGGTTCACCTAAGTGATCCGATTCATTCGGATCAGGTCAACTAGAAGATCCGGTTCAAAGACCCGTTCGCGATCTAAAAGATATTTTGAGTCAATTGAATCGAACATTAAGTATAGTTTTGGTTTTTTACGGTTCTCGATTCGCAAATTGCAAGTATGATTCGGGATTTGGATTAAGGGTGTGTCGCATGAGTAAAGGACATATGATTTTTGTTTAAGGTTAACAATATATATTGGTTGAGTCACGATGATATGACAAATGCAATAACTTTTGATGTTTTCAATACTTGTTTTTTTTTTTTGAAATTTTAAAAAATGTACAAAAAATTTATTCTTTAGTACTCTCTTTAAATAAAATTTTGATAGGTCGATAATAACTTTTGAGTTTTAATATATTGAGTGGGTATGTAACACGGGTGGTTATAACTTGTAATGGTGTATATTTAAAACGCTTACTCTGACCAAAAAACAAACCCCCCTCTTCGCACCATATATTATTGACTTGGCACAACAGAGACTAAACACTATACAGATATGGTGTAGTAAGTCTGGTCTATCTGTTAATCCAAATAAAGCAGAGGTTGTTATGTTCACTAGAAAGAGAATAGGACTAGACAGTCTAGACACTCTTACTCTGAATGGACAAGAAATTAGCTTAAATTCGGAAGTAAAATACTTATGTGTAATCTTGGATAGTAAGCTAAAATGGAAATCATATGTTGAGTCAAGAATCAAAAAAGCAATGACCACATTGTGGACTTGCAGCAGAGCCTTGGGTAAGACATGGGGTCTTAAACCAAAAGTTATGTATTGTTTGTACACGTCAGTGATTAAACCTATGATATTGTACGGTGCCCTAATCGGGTGGACCAGAACAGCACTCGTTACAGCTAGGAAAGAACTTAATCGCATACAGAGAATGGCTGCTATGGCCATCACTGGAGCATTAAGAACTACACCAACGGTCGCATTAGAGGCACTAATCGGATTACCTCCTCTGCATCTAGAGGTTAAAGCTCACGCCAAAGCCACAGCACTAAGATTCCACAACTGTTTAATTTAAGATATATATAAAAGTGTCAGACTTTCCGAAACACTTTCAAAAGTTAAGTTGCAAATGTTCTACTTTCTGGATGTATTTTTTACATTTGAACCCCCCTCGTATATAGGGAAATGGTCCGATTTAAAAAAAACAGTATGTCGAATGAAAGATGTATATAAATACTACTTCTCATGAAAAAATTGTATTGAACTATACATTTTTCAAAAAGTTATAGCATAATAAAATAAAAAATGTAAAATACAAAATCAAAAATTTTTACACAAAAATAGCATTTGGTAGCCATTTTCACCGTGAAGATAAAATAAAGTCCGAAATTTATTTTTTTTACATAATAAAGTATATTACATTAGCCTTAATTTAAGATATATATATAAAAGTGTCAGACTTTCCGGAACATTTTCAAAAGTCAAGTTGAAAAAATTAATTTTTTGTGAAAAAGTTGTCATTTTAAATCCCCCTCTGTGGGCAGGTAAAAAGTCAGATTTATAAAAAAAATATACCAAATGATAGATAAAGACATCATGCAACTACAAAAAAAATAATTATATTGATTTGGTTATTTTTAAAAAGTTATGGCAATTTTAAGTAAAAAATTTTTTAAACATTTCGAAAATTGGCATTTTTTAAATTTGTAATTTTTTTGGAGGTTTACCCCATTTACGGGGAACGAAGGATTTTTTTTCAATTTTTGAGGATGATGTCTTCGACTAGATACCATTTGTGATCTTTTGACGTATCATTGAAAGAAATCGGTCCAGATAGAGCTAAGATTGAGCGTTCATAGACACAAAAAAAAAATAAAAAAACATCATATTAAAATTAATACCTTCTCAGCTTCGCATCGAAGCTAAAACCATGCGCGTAAAAAAAAAGCTCGTAAAACGATGAAAAATGAACGAGTTGAATTGATTTTTTTATCATACTTCAGGAATGTCATTGGGAGGGTCTGATGAAAATTTCAAACCTTAAGTCGTAAAACGCTGGCGTTAGCGATGATGTTATTCAACGATGCCATAATGTTGCACTCCGTACCATCGTTTCAGTTTAAAGGAACGATAGAAATGACATTATACACCGTGTTTTGATTTTTCCTACAGTAGCAGAAGAAATTAAGAGATTTGCTCGCAAACATGAGGTGAGATTAACGAACCACATTAACATAGCAGCAATTCAATTTTTGGACAACTCCGAAGACATCAGGCCAGAGGTGTCGTGGAGCGTATACGCGGGTATACGGCGTATACCCACTGTTAGTTTTCTTATTAGTGCATATACGTATTTATAAGATAGTTAGAGTATAGACTAAAGAATAAAATAAAAAGTAATACGTGGGTATCGAATTTTGGTATGTTTGTCATAAAACACAAATTTTGAATAACTCTTATCAGTTTGTTTAATCTCTACAGTCATACCACATATAAACATATATCTGAAGTTATAAACACACAAATATGGCTCGAGACTATTATCATTTTAAAAATAGAATATAAATGTAAAACAAAACACTGTCAAAGTGTATAAATTAATATCAATAAAATAGGATAATGTTTATCATTTCACGACAATTTTATTGACATTTGACAAAATTTAAAACATCGACCAGAAATTAACGATATAGCACATTCTAAGTTGAAACTGAAAGTTATTGGGTTAACCTATAGCTGTTGAAATTGGTAATTTGTATTCTTCCGTAATAAACCGTTTACCAACCAATCTAGTATTTAATATATTACCTATAATGAATTAAGATAATGCTAACATGTACCTATTCACGTTTATTTCATTTATGTTTTAACGATTTGAAAACAATGATTGTAAGATTATTTTTCTACTGCATAAAGTTTATTGTTTATTTTTGAAATATATAACAGTATCTAATAATACACTTATCGATTATATGACTATGAAATTTAATTTATGTAAGAACTTAGAAGTAAAAATATTCGAGTAATAGTTTGATAGTTGGAAGGAGCAAGGCCGTATCTGGGAGGGTTAGGAGTTTTAATTACTGTATGGTACAGAACACCTTTAGAAGGATCTAGTTGACCAGTTTTTACAAATATCATTGATTATATTATTTATATAATCAATTTTTGAAAATTTGAAAATTTTTAGTATTTATTTTATAATTGCGTTTTGTGTTTAACTTCTCATTTTTCAAAAATAAAAAACTAAAAATTTTGTGTCATATGGTTTATTTATTAGTTACAATGATTTGTTACGAACATTATATAATTCTTATAGTCAAATTTATTTAGTTAAATAAAAGGAAAATATAAAGTTCATAACAAGTAATTTTATAAAATATCCTCATCATCATTACCATGGACTCTATTCCTGTTTTTTTGTGGTCGGCTGTATCTTTATTTATTTACGGAATTTTGTCAAATATTGCAACCTCAGCCATTCCCTGAGGAAACCAGTATGC